ACTCCTTCTCATGTACAATCTGATATCTGTCATTCCCTTGATGGCATCCTGGTGGCTAAAAACTCAAGATATCTGGGTCTTCCCTTAGAAATAGGGAGAAACAAAAAAGAGACATTTGCTTTTGTGACAGAGTGTGTGATTGCTAGGGTTACAAACTGGAAGAATGTCTTTCTTAGTGAGGCAGGCAAGGAGGTGCTTATTAAGACTATCCTTAGTGCCTTACCTGTGTATGTCATGTCAGTGTTTAAGATTCCTGTGGGGGGTGTGTAATGAGATCTGTAGGACTATTGCAGGGTTTTGGTGGGGGGCAGACTGAAGGTGGGGGTAGAAGGATTCACTGGGGTCATTGGGGTAAACTGGCCAAGGCTAAGTGTGAGGGGGGGTTGGGGTTCAAAGACCTAGTGGATTTTAATGAAGCTCTGATTGTTAAGAAGCTGTGGAGAGTGCTTACAGAGCCTAATATCTTGATGAGTAGAGTGATTAGGGGTTGGTATCTTCATAAGCAGAGTCTTTTTGAGGTGAAGAAAAAAGATAGTGACTCTTGGATGTGGAAGGGCTGGTTAGAGGCTAGGAATGCTTTAAAATTAGGAGCTAGATGGCAGGTAGGTAATGGGAGGTCTATTAAGGTTTGGGATTCCCCTTGGATTCCCCAATCTTATAACTTTAAGCCAGTTTGTTGTTTTGAAGAGGATAAGGAGAGAATTTGCAAAGTTTCTGACTTGATGACTCCAAATGGAACTCAGTGGGACATTGATTTGATAAATCAAACATTTAACCCTGTGGATGCAGCTCATATATTGAAAATGCACATAAGTCACAGAAATGTGATGGATAGGTGGGTTTGGCATTGTGACAAGCAGGGAGAGTTCTCAGTGAAGGGGGCATACAAACTTATTCAGAGGAAGAAAGCAGGAAACATGGAGGTGGTGGAGTCTAGCTCAACAAGGGAGAGGATGCAAAGCATGTGGCAGAATACCTGGAATCTCAACATCAAACCAAAAGTCAAGAATTTCTTGTGGAGGTGCTATCATAACTGGGTGGGCACAAAGGTAAATCTGAAAATTAAAGGTGTCATGGAGGAGGCAATATGTGCTTGGTGTGGGGAAGAGGAGGAGGACATAAATCATTTAATGTTTACCTGTGAGAGAGCAAGGACAATCTGGAGAATTGCTGGCATTACATGGTATAACATTCAAAACAGGGAAGCAAACTTTAAGGAGTGGTGGCAGGAGGTGTGTTCAATACCTGAAAATGAGCATAACAGAGATAGAATTTCCTTATCCACATATCTATTATGGTGGATGTGGAAAACAAGAAATAGTTGGGTGTTTCAAGCAGAGAGCAAAACAGAAATGGAAGTAGTGAAGGGGGCAAAAATTGAATGGTTGGAATTTGATACAGTGGGGAGAAGTCAAAAAAGAGATGCTCAGGGTACAGGTGGGACTAAGGGACAGGTATTCTGTGGGAGACAGGGAGTAGGGCTGCAAGGAAATGGAGCCAGTGCTGCTGTTTCAGAATTCCAGAATCACAATGACAGAAGTGAAAGGGATCAGAGGGAACCTGAAATCCACAAGCTATGGTGCTCTAGGGATAGATCTGCAAATCATTCAGTGGAGACAGGGTTGCTGGAAATCAGAGACTGGCTGGAAAATGGGAGCAGAATGGGATGGCAGAAAGCTCAAATATTTATATCAGATAAGACTTTGCTTAGACTGTTGCTGAGGAAGAAAGGGTTCAACTCGGATGTCTATGTGTTGGCTGCTGATATTTTCTCCATAACTGCTATGTATAGTAGTGTTTTGTTCTTACCTTGTAGGTAAGTGTTCTTTAGTTTTGGCTTGTTGTTTTTGTTGTTTCTTATGACCATGTGGGTCTCTTAGGGGTACTTGTGAAAGTGGCTCCCTACTTGTGTTTCCAATCAAAAACTGTGTATGGTTGGGCCAAGTGCAACCTGTTGGTTGTTCCCTTTGTACATTCTGAGTTGATGTTTTTATAAATTTGATGTTTG